AAGCGACCCACTGGTCCAGATGAAAAAGAATCATTTTCTCCATCAATTTCCGGGTAGGGGGTATTCAACTCTGCACATCCCAATCTGTGCCGAGTACTTCATCTGTGCCGAAAGCTAGGTCAAGCGTTGTGCTGAATGTGCCAAAGTGTGGCAATCAAGCTGTCAGTCTCAGTAACCCATGAGTTTGGCAACCCTGCACTTATAACTTTTGAGATTGTGTGTTTACATTTCCAAGTCAAGGACGGAAAAAGTAGTTGCCGGTCATCCGCTTCAAGGAAGTGGCACTCGAAGATTAGCCCCTCCGCGAGAAGGAGAACCGTGCGTCATTCTGGAAGACGTTTATCAAAACCAAGAACCCAACCGGCAAGTGGAATATGAATCTTATCTGCAATATCGTCATGCTACTCGGGCAATGCTACAATCTGAAAAATAAAGGGTGATACGGTCAAAATTTGGTCAAGGGAAAACGCGTGTAAATCGGTGAAATCGTTTATTTAAAAAATCAAATTAAATTTCTTTTTCAAGTAGTATAAAATTCAGGAAAAATATTCAGTTAGGCTTCCGCTTTTCCAAATCCGAATTGCCGGGACTTTCGCTTGACCCCTGCCATCAGATTTTGTACAGCCACCTTGTCCACCTTCTTCGCCGCAGAAAGCCAGTTTGCCTTGAACTGCTGCTCGCCCTTAGCAGTTTTTTTGGTCTTCTTTAGGTTCCGCTTGACAATAGCCCAGTATTTCTCAATTGGGCGGAGCTCTGGCGTGTTGGGAGGGTTCTTGTCCTTGGGAACCACCTGCACGTTGTTGGCGGCGTACCACTCCATGGCCTTTTTACCGTAATGGCAAGATGCCAAATCCGGCCAAAACAGTACGGAACAACCGTGTTTCTTCAGGAAAGGCAGCAGACGTTTATTCAAACACTCTTTCACGTAAATTTCTTGGTTGACAGTTCCGGAAGCTATGAAAATGCTGCTTTTCAAGCCACAGGTACAGATGGCTTGCCAAACCAGATATTTCTTTGCGAACTTTGACAGTTTCATGTGCTTGAAAACATCTGCTACCTTTCCCCTTTCTTTTGCCGTATAAAACTCCTGTTCCGGAAGCTGCTTGTAGTCGGCTTTGACGTAGGTTTCGTCGTCCATTACCACGCAGTCAAACTTCGTCAGCATCGTCGTGTACAGCCTCCGGGATCGCGCTTTGGCCGTCGTATTTTGTTTATCATCGTGATTTGGAGTCACTACCTTCTTGTAAGTCGATAGTCCGGCTCGTTTTTTGGCTCGATGCACGGTTGTAGACGATACACCCAGCTTATTTGCGGCATCTCGGAGAGAGAGGTTAGGGTTTCGCTTGAAACTACCGGCAACTCTCTTTGTCGTCTCAGCGGCTTCCGGTTTTCGATTTCCCCCCGATCCAGACTTCCTGGCTGTCGACAAACGTTCCCCAAACACTTTAATTACATTTGTAACGGTTGATTTGGCAACTTTTAGCGATTTTGCCAACTTTGCGTGCGAGTAGCTCGGATTTTCGCGATGCGCGAGCAAAATTTTGATACGCTGCTCTTCTTGCTTGGACGGCATTTTGACAACTGAAGAGTGAATTCCAAAATCAAAATAGGAGCAACATTCTACACACACACCTTCAAAATGAGGGGTGTTCAGGTTTTTTAAATGCAAAATTGAAAGAAATACGTCAAGTTGATATTGACCAAATTTTGACCGTATCACCCTTTATGAAGGACTCGACTTAAAATGTCAGCAGTCGTGGTTTGGTACTGAATTCATCTGACTCTCCCGGATCCTGTGGCCATCGAGTTAATACTTAATTCTAGTTAATGCTGGCCTATTCTGCGGGGCGTGGTGACTCTCACTAGTTCGTTTGGATTTTCCTGATACTGTGGGCATCTCTCAAAAGCCGTGTGGACTTTCTGTAGAGGTTCATCCCCCAGAAGGCATAAAGACAAAGAGAATCTCGTCAATTATACAATCTCTTATTATGATTGGGGACAATTTCGCTGGAAAATGGCACTGACAAAAAATCCCTTTCCCCCTTACATTGAAGTAAACGAAGAAGTCAACCTTAGCAACGATTGGCAAAATGTCAACACAAAGCACTGATGTCATTTTATATTATATCTTGTGTCATACTTGTCATCGTGTGCCATGACGCGCCGATCAGTGTGCCACGATGTGTTTTGGCACAATGTGCAGATTACCTCTTGGAACAAGTTCAACAAGCGCCTCTTAGTGACGTCTGGGAGGTTTTTGAGAAAGTTGAACTTGATTCGATCCATTGCCGGAACCGAGTTGTTGCATGAAAGAAGAGCAATTGAGAATTCATCCATCGAAAACGGGGAGTCCATATCATTTTTTTTCCACCGACGTATTGCGAGTGTTGTTTCGGACAGGAACCGAATCAGGGCAAACTTTGCGCGCGAAATCGAAAATCCATCTGTTAGAGTACTCCACGGGTATGGTTTTGACAGGCTAGAGTATCTCTCAACGTTACAAAGGATTTATATTCAAACCTTTTTGTAACCGTTATAAACACGATTGCAACCATGTCACTATCGCCCAGTACGTGTCATGCAACTTTGCGAGTTCAGTTCATAGTCACGTACTTCCAGTACATGGAAGTAGGCCAACAATCACGTGCTGCTATCAACGTAAGCTAGGTTAACCGCAGAACGCAACCGTAGTCTTCAGTTTGCGTTGAACATGACGAAGCCGTTCTTGATATTTTGTGCCATCATGCTCGCGCTGCTAGCTTCAAACATACCGTTCATCATCGCTCAGTGTAGTGATTGCTCCAGTTGCTCCCGCAGAATTCCCTGGTGGTGTACTTCCCCCACGAAATCTTCTGCACACGGTTCTACAAGTGCGTCAATGGAAATGCCGTCGAAAGTCGTTGCCGATCCGGAATGTTCTTCAACCCGCAGCAGAACCTCTGCTGTCCGGACGAATTTAATTTTTGTAAATCTGCTTCGATTTTAAAATTCAGCCCTCGAAAAGTACGTCTTCATTTCCAAACATCTACCCGTAAACAGGGAAAATCCAGCTCATGCCAGATGGACCGAAGGTGGGGAAACATGGTTGCCGATGCATCGGATTTACAGGAAAGATTCTTGGTAAACATACGGTCTGTAATGCATGGGGCCGAGATAAATTGTTCATTGGTAATCACAATTTGCTGCGAAACGTTCGGTTATTCGGTAAATCGCGATGTATCAAATTTCGAATTGTAATGTGGAAAAATTACTGGCAGCATGCATGCTGAAGAAAATATCAGAACATTTTCGGACCAGTATTATCAACAAATGAGTGAACTTAACACTAAACGATAGACAACATACAAGTTTGACAGGGATCGACTAAAAACTCAGAGTGGTGCAAAAAACACTGGTGCTACTCTAAAATAAGGGAGCGCGTCCCTTATGTTTGGAAGGAGGAGAGATTTCATATTTAGGAGAGAGTAGTTGGACAGCTCAGGTGCTACTTGCATACAGCACAATCGAGTAGTGCACGGTGTTATGACGGGAGTAGCACTTTTCAATCGGGAGAGGCGTGGTTTAGAGATTGACAAGAATGGCTGCATATTTTAGACTGAATGCATAATATTTTTACGCTCATATAATATATGTTGCATTGACTGTATGGTATTCAAAAGCGTAGGAAAATGCAAATTTAGATGCTTTTCCTAAAGAGATTTTTTTAAGATCGATGTGTAATTTTCTTCACAAGGGGGTCAGCTCTGGTCGACAATCCGGCTAAAAATCTAAGCCAACCCGACACCAACCTGACTTCTATCAAACCCCAACCCGATGTTGACCCGACATTAACCCGACATAAACCCCAAATTGACCTGACAACAAAACGACATTGGGTCAACATCGACCTTAAATAAGCCTAACATTGATCCGACATCGGATCGACTTGTCTGTTCGGGACCATTTTGCTGGGTTTCTTCCACACTCCACTGTCGTATATCAAATGATAGTGGGTGACTCAATTGACAGTGACAATGAGCTTCGAATGAGAAAGGGGCTCTTCAAATGATGGGCACGAGAATTTTTTTCACAGAATTGATTTAATAGTTGTATTGGTTCATCTTCAATCGAATGATATCTAGCTATCCTACAACGCTACAGTTATAGAGAAAGTACACTGTCGGAGAAACAAAGAGTGAGAGAGAGAGAGAGAGAAAGAGGCTTAACACCGTTGGAGCGGCAGCTTTCCAACACAAGAAGAATGAAATGTGCTGCATGATTTAAAATGCTCTTTCACGTCTCTTTGGAAATGTAAGCGCAGTCTCGCAACAGCGTGAGTTTTACTCGCAAAAAATTGAGCAGCACCCGATCTCTGCATACAACACCCAGTAGACCCCAGTAGGGAAACTTTCGGGTAGCAAAAAGTTTCAACGGCTGGAGCGAACTCGATTGTGGTTTAATCGTTTTTCTGAGGTATGGCCGAATTTGTTTCACTTACACTAATAAGAAGCTTTAGAAACGTATAATAAAATTACGCTTAGATGAACCGCCAGTAACTAATAACACGAATTTCATCTGATCATTTGAATTATACCCTTTCCATGAATTCTGACTATGATGCACTTCATATAATATCGATTTTTCCAGAAATTGGGTTTCGAGATCATCAGATTCAATTTAATTTAAGCGACAATTTCACTACAATCTCATTCTTCTTTGCGAGTACCTGATTCAGCTTCCAGTGCTTAGCATATACTGCTGACTTCACTCCACAATCCAACGGACTTTTATTCTAGCCAATTTGTATGACCGCAATGAGGAGCACGATTACGGAAACGCAAGCCTTGTCTTGCAACCGCGCACCCAGCTGTCATCCATATCCTTATCGCCCAGTACGGGTGATGCGTTTTTCCGCGTTCAGTACATAGTCACGTCCTTTCAGTACACGGAAGTGCACTAAAAAGCACGTGCCACCATCAATTTAAGCTGATGTCGGCGCAGAAAGCAACCGTAGTCTTCAGTTTGCGTTGAACCGCGTTCAACATGACGAAACCGTATTTGATATTCTGTGCCATCGTGTTCGCACTGCTAGTTACCGCTCAGTGCGGCGGTTACTCCAGTTGCTCCAGTTGCAACAGCTGCGTCAGCTGTGTCAGCGGACCTCCGAACTACATGTGTCCAACCCCGCCGAATTCCCTGGAGGTGTACTTCCCCCACGAAAGCTTCTGCACACGGTTCTACAAGTGCGTCAATGGAAATGCCGTCGAAGGTCGCTGCCCATCGGGAACGTTCTTCAACCCGCAGCAGAACCTCTGTTGTCCAGACGAATCGCTGTGCTACCGTTCGAATGCATGTGTCATGCAGGTCGCAGAATGCGCCAACTGTGCCAACCTGTTTGTCAAATCCAACCTAATGGCGTCGGCCTTCTTCTTGTGCAACTGCGACGGAACCGCAACGACCTTGCAGTGTCCAACGGCGTTCGATACCTGTGCCAACGCCACCGTAACGCTGGAGTTTATCAACGGGAACTGCGATCCACCACCGATGCAGATGACCACCACGACGGAATCGACGACGACGGAATCGACCACGACGGAATCGACCACGACGGAATCGACCACGACGGAATCGACCACGACGGAATCGGGTGAAAATGGTGGTGGTGGTGGTGGTGGTGGTGGTGGTGGTGATTAAATGTATTGCTGTTGTCTTGCCAGTTTGGAGTGTTGCCGATAATGTGTGCAAAATATATGGGAATTTAATTGGTGTAAATCTCATTTCGATTCTGAGATTCAGCCCTCGAAAAGTTCATTTTCAAACATCTACCCGTATACAGAGAAACTCCAGCTCATGCCAGATGGACCGAAGGTAGGGAAACCCCAAGTAACACAAATTCATAGGATTATGTTGAGTAAACTGCTATACAACCAAAAGCAGTCATACAAAGGTTATATAAACTGTTATAGAACATGTGTGTTGCTTGGGACATGGTTACCGATGCACCAGATTTACCGGAAAAGTTCTCGGTAAACAATTTGGACTTCCGTTCTAGTTTGTACGGCCATGTAATGCATGGAAGTTAAACAGTTCTTGTAAAGGTGTATCAATATGTATCTTCTTTGGTAATCACAAACTTGGTAAATCGTTATGTATCAAATTCCAAATTGCAATGTGGGAAAATGACTGGCTGCTTGCTGGAGAGCTTCAATTTTCGGACCAGTATTATTACCAAGTGATTCTCGTCTGCATGTTTTTTCTTCCTTTCTCTATCTTCGATCCACAATCCAGTAGATAGTGTTGACTTAGATTTTAATACTTTGATACTTCAATACTTTAATACTGCACTTGTTTTGCCCATATTTCTATTTTGGCCTTTTTTTTACGATACATATATTTTAAAAGACAATTGCAACCGTTTTCAAAAAGAGGTTGTACAGACTGAACACTTAACAGTAGACGGTGGACAACACACAACACCCTGTTGGATCCAATAGGAAAATTTTCAGGTTGCGAAAGGTTGCCTGGAGTGGGAATCAAACTGCCACTTCGCAACACTCACAATTCGCCTGAATAACGAGTGACACCGCTACCGAACGACCACGAAGCCCATATTTCACGTTGTATACCAATTTTAGATCTTCAGTTGTGTTGAGATTGTTGATTCAAATTATATCCATCAAACATACACCCACGAAACGTACGAAGATTGTGATATAATCATTTTTTTTGGGGTATGGCAAAAATAGGTAACTAGGGTCAACATTGGTGCATTTACCCTAAATCCTTATCGCCCACTAGGGGTGATGCGTCTTTCCGCGTTCAGTACATAGTCACGTCCTTTCAGTAAATGAACTTGGGCCAAAAATGACGTGCCACCATCAATTTAAACTAGTGTCGTCGCAGAACGCAACCTTAGTCTTCAGTTTACGTTGAACCGCGTTCAACATGACGAAACCGTATTTGATATTTTGTGCATTGTGCTGGCACTGCTAGCTACGAGCGTACCGTACGTCTTCGCTCAGTGCGGCGATTACTCCAGTTGCTCCAGTTGCAACAGCTGCGTCAGCTGTGTCAGCGGACCTTCGAACTACATGTGTCCAACCCCGCCGAATTTCCTGGAGGTGTAAAGGGCGAACACGAAATTATTGCGACACCGAAAATGTCATGCTAATTTTCTTATAATGTTTAGAATCAAACCAAAATTTTAGGGTAGTTTTATACATATATTTACTTCAAAAATCAAAAGAAAAGTTAATCGATGGAGCCTTGAGTGTAAAATTGAACGCATTTTCGCTCCATCAAAGTCTTTACAGTGTCATCCGGTACCAGTTTCTCAGTTTTTTTTTTTCCATTTTCTTAACATGTCCTTCTCGTCTTTGACTGTCTTCTTGCTCTTCCGAAGTTCCCGCTTCATTATTGCCCAGTACTGCTCCACCGGGCGCAGCTCCGGACAGTTTGGCGGATTCATGTCCTTTGGAACAAAATGGACAGAATTGGCCTCATACCACTCCAGGACACTTTTAGAATAGTGGCATGATGCCAAATCTGGCCAAAATAGCGGAGCTTCGTCGTGTTGCTGCAAGAACGGCAAAAGGCGCTTCTCGAGGCACTCAGATTTGTAGATCTCGCCATTTACTGTGCCCTTTGTCACGAAAGGCTCACTCATCAGTCCGCAAGAGCAGATGGCCTGCCAAATGAGATATTTGGAGGCGAACTTCGACATTTTCTTCTTCTTAAATTTGTCGTCCACATCGAACTTGCTCTTGCCGGTGAAAAACTCCAACCCCGGAATTTGCTTAAAATCGGCTTTTATATACGTTTCGTCGTCCATCACACAGCAGCCATATTTTGTCAGCATCTTCTCGTAGAGCTTCCGTGCCCGAGTTTTAGCCGTCGATTGTTGCCGCTCATCGCGGTTTGGGAAGTTCTGTACCTTGTATGTATGTAGTCCAGCTCTCTTCTTTGCATTCTGGACGTAGCTCTGCGACATGCCGATCTTTTTAGCCAAATCACGGCTTGAGACGTTGGGATTTGCTTTAATCATCCGCTTCACCTTTCCCTCCGTCTTTTTGTTCTCCGGTCCCGGTTTTCTTCCAGCTCCTTTGCCGTGGTCCAACGTCAACCGCTCCTGGAACCGCTTCAACACTCTGGAGACGGTTGAATGGTGAATGTTCAACATTTTTCCCAACTGCCGGTGCGACAGGTCAGGAAATTCCAGGTGTTTGGAAAGAATCTGTTCTCTCAACTCGCGTTGGTTCACCTCCATTTTCGTTGAATCGAAAAACACGACTTCGAGTTTGACAGCATGTACACAATACACATCAATGAGAAAGTGTGCAAAATTTGGTTGATTTTTACCCAATGGTAAAAAAGTTATGCCCTGTTGAATGTGTCGCAATAATTTCGTGTTCGCCCTTTACTTCCCTCACGAAAGCTTCCGCACTCGGATCTACAAGTGCGTCAATGGAAATGCCGTCGAAGGTCGTTGTCCATCGGGAACGTTCTTCAACTCGCAGCAGAACCTCTGTTGTCCAGACGAATCGCTGTGCTACCGTTCGAATGCGTGTGTCATGCAGGTCGCAGAATGCGCCAACTGTGCCAACCTGTTTGTCAATTACGACCTGTTGACGTCGGCCTTCTCAGTGTCCAATGGCGTTCGATACCTGTGCCAACGCCACCGTAACGCTGGAGTTTATCGAAGGGAACTGCGATCCACCACAGGCAACCACATCAACAACGGAATCGACAACGACGGATTCGACCACGACGGATACGACTACAACAAAATAATCCACGATGAAATCGATGGCTGTAGTCACAAAACATATGTGGAACTCGATTATTTATAATCGACCCCATTTCAGTGATTTCAAGTGGTATAAATTCGTCCCCTTAATGCTACAACTAGGTATCTCAAAAACCGAAGTTTTGAGAAAAACGCATTTCAAAATTTGACCTATTTTAAAGAAGATGGCTTACGTGTCAAAAAAGCGTAAAAAGGATATTTCTACGCAGTATACATGAATTATACTATTCCCCATTCTATCCAGGTGAACATTACGGTGCCTTTGTGGATGTATGGGGAAAATATAGATATTTAAAAAAAAAACACCAAGTTACCTAGTTGTAGCATGCACAGCTAAACATTTTCTAGAGCATTTATTCTGAGATAGCGGTTTTTCTGATGAATGAGAAAGAAGTTGTTAAACGCAAAATCGAAATATTCATTTATTTGGCAACTTTTAATGTATGTATTAACACGTTTAAACGTTTTATTCGCACTTTAAAGATCTTCTTCATTCTCCTCAGAGCTGTTATCTTCGTCGTTGACTTGATTATCGTATGGCAGATTCATATAGAACGATTTGTAGCAATCTTTAAGGGGCAGGTGGTTTCAAATTGAAGAGATACTTAAGGTCATTGTATTTTGCTGTCGAGATTGGTATCGGTGAACGGTAAAGCTGCTGTAGTGGCTTATGTAATTCTCTTTTGCTCCGCTTGTTGAAATCAATGTAGCGAAACTCCTCTTCATACGATGTTTTGATGGCCATTTTGTATGGCTCTGATTTCAAGAAACGCATCCAAATCATTTTAGGCCACGAAATGATGTCTCCACTGGTGTCCTTCTTGCGCGAAGTCATGTTGTGCTTGAAGAAGGTTTTGTAGTCCTTGATCTGCTCTTGGTTCAAATCATGAACCAAGTAGGGTTCATCGTTCGCCCTCCGGGCGCTACGAGCTATTTGTTTCATGTCCTCAGGCCATGAGGCTTGACCAACGCGCTTGAGTTCGGTACTGATGGCCGAATGCTTGGAATCGCACTCCATTTCACTGTGGCCAGATACAAGAAATTTGTGATCTATTTTCTCAATAAAGGGTGATACGGTCAAAATTTGGTCAAGGGAAAACGCGTGTAAATCGGTGAAATCGTTTATTTAAAAAATCAAATTAAATTTCTTTTTCAAGTTCAATTAGTATAAAATTCAGGAAAAATATTCAGTTAGGCTTCCGCTTTTCCAAATCCGAATTGCCGAATTGCCACCTTGTCCACCTTCTTCGCCGCAGAAAGCCAGTTTGCCTTGAACTGCTGCTCGCCCTTAGCAGTTTTTTTGGTCTTCTTTAGGTTCCGCTTGACAATAGCCCAGTATTTCTCAATTGGGTGGAGCTCAACACGCCGGGAGGGTTCTTGTCCTTGGGAACCACCTGCACGTTGTTGGCGGCGTACCACTCCATGGCCTTTTTACCGTAATGGCAAGATGCCAAATCCGGCCAAAACAGTACGGAACAACCGTGTTTCTTCAGGAAAGGCAGCAGACGTTTATTCAAACACTCTTTCACGTAAATTTCTTGGTTGACAGTCCCGGAAGCTATGAAAATGCTGCTTTTCAAGCCACAGGTACAGATAGCTTGCCAAACCAGATATTTCTTTGCGAACTTTGACAGTTTCATGTGCTTGAAAACATCTGCTACCTTTCCCCTTCCTTTTTCCGTATAAAACTCCTGTCCCGGAAGCTGCTTGTAGTCGGCTTTGACGTAGGTTTCGTCGTCCATTACCACGCAGTCAAACTTCGTCAGTATCGTCGTGTACAGCTTCCGGGATCGCGCTTTGGCCGTCGTATTTTGTTTATCATCGCGATTTGGAGTCACTACCTTCTTGTAAGTCGATAGTCCGGCTCGTTTTTTGGCTCGATGCACGG